GAACCACAACGCTGTAAATGCTTCACCCACGTACTACAAATACAAATAATCGCCAACAGAACCTAAACACCTAACCTAACCTAACCTATGCCTAAATATGCACAATATGCTAATATAATAATATTAATTTATATTTGAGAACATTTATATTTTGAATCAACAGCATGTTAAAGTTGATGAATGCGTCTTTGGGATCGACCGCTGGATGTAATGGACCTGGTCTGAGGACAGATTTTTTTATGAATTTCATTAAAACTTCTAAGAAATTGAGGTCAATGAGTATTTGACACTAACGTGTAATTAGTACATAATTGACTCCGTCTTTACCAGCATAATTTGGCGTAATAAGATACGTTGTCTTATCTTACACAATCTTTGCAATTATTCCATTATAGGTTATAGACTTTATCGACCAAAATGTGATATTTAATACGCAAGAATGAGGTTATCTGCAGTGGCGCTTTGATCCATACGAGGCTCGTCCTGTTTAACATCTAGTCATAACTACCCGTGTAGGCCTAAATATCCAAGAATTCCCCCTTCATGTTGGACAACTAATCCAAGCACTCCAATGCATTCAGGATAACCTATATAACAGATCACACACAGAGATCACACTAACGTGATGCATCAAATGAACAACCCTGTTGTAGCTCAGTCGATTAAGGCAGTGTCTGGGATGCTCCCGGACGTAGGTTCGAATCCTCGTCACGGCCCTTGTGGATTTGTTTATCTAAGAGATCCTAATCATGTAGGGCTATTGATTCAAATACTTCAAAAAATACATTGATTTACAGGGCAGACAATTAAAGATGACTCGACATGGTTGGCGGAGGACACTAAATACCCGAATCAGCCACAAACACATTATTAATCATATGTTCAGTGTTAGAGTTGTAAACAAGTGAAATAAACTAGGAACAGTGTAAGGAGACTCCATACACACAGCTTCAACTGTAGATATGACAGAACCCAATAGGATTCCGGAACCTGTGTATCATTCAATTGATGGCTGAGAACTGGGTACCATGAACTGAAACTAAACCTCCGCACGCACAGCTAGGTGGGCACACCCTGCGGGAGAGCAGAACCAGAGGAGACATGATTTAGACGTATAAAATACGAGTTCATAATCAGATTTTAAAATTATAAGAAATTGTGAGAATTTCACCAGATTCCTTAAATTGGGAGGCGGGGCCCAAGATATATTCCTCCATACTTGCAGACACTATTAGGTAAGCACACACGCACAGGGGGCTAAGTCAAACACACACAGTGCCTGCATACAGTATATACACAGTCATACAGTATATACACAGTCATACAGTATATACACAGTCATACAGTATATACACAGTCATACAGTATATACACAGTCATACAGTATATACACAGTCATACAGTATATACACAGTCATACAGTATATACACAGCAGTGTCATATATACACAGTAGTCACACATATATACAGTCATTCAGTCATACAGTGTCACAGTCATACAGTATATACAGTCATACAGTATATACATACAGTATATACACAGTCTACACAAACAACTACACGCAGTGTCACACACATGTCTGCAGTCATACGCACATTGTCAACAGTCAACAGAAATTTCAAACACAAATAAACCCAATGGAAAAATCGGATATATTTGTAAAATATGCTACTATGAATATTTCTAATTTTAAAATATTTGTCAATTATATGACGTTAAACAACATTGAGTAAGTTGATTACATCGGGCCGTATTCAGAGCATACTCTATATGGCAACACTAACTGGTTAATTAGATTTTTAGATTTATTAATTTACGATTTCAGAATTGAATAGAATGAATAATTTTCTGATTTTATTTTACCCTACTCATATCATGCTTTCTTCATGTTTATGAACAAAACTAGTATGATCAGTAAGTTTTGTTCTCAGTCTGTGCTCTGGATGTGGCCAATTGTGTTAATAAAATTGAATTATAGTGAAGTATTTGGAGAATGGTAAATGTCTTAAAAATGAAAGGTTAAAGTTGAGTTGGCGCGTCTTTGTGAGGTTGCGAGAGCGGCCGCCATCATCACTTGGCGGGCTTCAACCTTTTGGCGGGAAAATCAGAGGTAGGACCCCGCACATATTCTTGATGGCGGGATTTATAATCTATATGTCTTCATTCTTGGAATCTCTCCCATCCCTTAAAATATATTACAGTTTGTGCTTTGATACATTAAAATTTAAAAAAATATTATTTTCTAATAAACAAATTTATTGGGACTGACGTCAGATGTAACCTAGCAAACTCATTTTATTATATCCAGATGAATTATTTAATGGATTTTTTAAAATAGTCATTATCTCCAGTTAGGAATGGTGCTTGTAATATGACCATCCGGCGATATTTTATACAAAACAAAAATTAAAGCCTCATGTGCCAGACTAACTTAGTTTCCGGACCTGAATAGGTAGTGGACCCCCACCATATCTCCCATTCACCAGGGTACTCTCCCACATCCAGGACTCCCCCACACTCGGGACCACTCCACACACCTATCCCTCCCACACTAAGGAACTCTCCCACACCCATGACTTACAATGACACACCAGGTAACTCTCCCAGACCAAGGACTAACTACCTTACACCACAGAACTCTCACACACCCAGGACTCTCCCAACTACCCAAGGCCTCCCACACACGCAAGGCTCTCCCACATACCAATGGGAGTGTATATGGGCCTCCCACACACCCAGGATTTCCCCCATGCACCCAAGACCTCCCACACACCAAAGGCCTCCCACATACCTAGGACTTCCTCCCATATACACCCAAAGCCTCCCACACACCCAGGACTCCCCCCTCCCACACCAGGGACTCCACGACCAATCACCTTCATAATCATAGAGTAATAGGATCGTGGGGAAGGGGGGGGGGACGGAGCCGGGAATCCCATATAAATGGCCTTTGATGTTAACTTTTAGGGGATCCCGCGCACACGGACGCCCGCGGACCAGGCAAACTAAAAAAAGGTGTAGAAACAAGGAAAATTAGCCTCGTGTAATGCCTTTGAAGAGATATTATTTGTCGTTTTTTTATGTTTGCACAAATATTCATACGGTCCAATATTTTCATTCTCGGAATGAAAAGAATATGTGAACATTTTTCGTATTAGTTGCGATTGAATGTATTTTTTTGGGGCGGGAAAAGTGAATATACTTTTCTTGTATTCAGCAATATTTGTTTTGACTCGGTATAATAGCCTAAACAAATCACTCAATTGTTTAGTCGGCAATAGTTAACGTCTCTGATGTTCAAAGGGCTCAGTGTCCCACTTACAATTATGATAATTTAGGTGAATTTGTTTCAAGTTTCCCGCCAACATCTCTCCTCCTCCTCCTCCTCCTCCCTTCGTTGCCAATCATTTCATAATGAGTTGCCGTAATTAGTTTCCAGGTTTATATATAGTTCTGAGTCGCCAAGTGCGCATTTTTGAGTGTAGCGATGTTGCTGACGGTCCAGTGGCCAGTTTATGAGTTAAGTTGCTTTATTGACGGTCCAGTTGCCAGTTTATGAGTTAAGTTGCTTTATTGACTGTCCAGTTGCCAGTTTATGAGTTAAGTTACTTTATTGACGGTCCAGTTGCCAGTTTATGAGTTAAGTTACTTTATTGACGGTCCAGTTGCCAGTTTATGAGTTTAGTTACTTTATTGACCGTCCAGTTGCCAGTTTATGAGTTTAGTTACTTTATTGACGGTCCAGTTGCCAGTTTATGAGTTTAGTTACTTTATTGACCGTCCAGTTGCCAGTTAATGAGTTTAGTTACTTTATTGACTGTCCAGTTTCCAGTTTATGAGTTTCGTTGCTTTATTAACGATCGAGTTGCCAGTTTATGAGTTTCGTTGCTTTATTAACGATAGAGTTGCCAGTTTATGAGTTTCGTTGCTTTATTAACGATAGAGTTGCCAGTTTATGAGTTTCGTTGCTTTATTGACCGTCAAGTTGCCAGTTTATGAGTTTCGTTGCTTTATTGACCGTCAAGTTGACAGTTTATGAGTTTAGTTACTATATTGACGGCCAACTTGCCAGTTTGGGTAAAATAGTGTATTAAAAGGACTTTTTTTTTGGAACACAACGAGGGAACAGGCGAACAATTACCGAGGAGAATATCGTGCTATATAGCCTAATACCTCTTATTTTTTTTTTTCTCTAATATTGTTATCACGAAGAGTGCTTCTTCTTTTAGTATTGTAAATAGATGAAGACTTTAAAAATGTGAATAGATTAGCATCTGTAAATATCGGAGAAACTGTAATTCAGTAACGGGTGGGATATGTACAAAAATTAACGGGTGAAATTATGAAATAAAATAACGGTTAAAGTTAAGAGATAACGGCTAAAATTAAGAGCATAACGGGTTAGTTAAAAAAAATAACATGAAAATAAATACAAAAAAAACGGGTAAAAAATTACAAAAATAACGATTAAAATATAAAGAAATAACTTTTTTTTTTAATAAAATTATAAAAAGTGCGAGGCTACGACACAACCCCCCCTCCCCCCCCTCCCCCCCCCCTCCCCCCCCCCTCACACAGGCTCGGATACCATGTTATATAATGTCCAGCTAATTAATTTAAGACACGAGCAAATTAGCAGCGTCTCCAGCTCTTGAACACGGAGGAAGTTTGTTAATAACTCAGTATAATAGACCGGGTCGGTGGCTCCTGACAGGTGTAACGGACATCCTTAATGGCTATCTATATCTAATTATTATTTATATCTAAGTTTCTATTTTTCCGAAGTTGTATATAGTTGTACAAGATTGTTGGGTTAGTGCAGTTTGAAGTACGGAGCGTGTTTCGGTTCAAGGAATAGAGTCTTTCTGTTCAAGGAATAGTTTCACTCAAATCCTAATCCTTACCCAATTCCAAGTGCTATATAGTGGTAATTGTTAGGCGTATTCCTCCTTGATAATTCCCTCCCTCCCTCCATGTTTCAGTGGTTTATTCTGGGTAACACAGTGAGTTTCACTTCTCTGTTTCAGTCTGCGAGGTGGCTGAGCTTTTGAGTGCTCTGTCCACCAATATGGCGGCCCGCGCAAACCAGGATCGCGAGGCCGCCCTCCTCCCCGCCCGCGTACGCCCATCGCTCCCTAACCTCGCCTCTACTCCTGCGGGCGTGGGCGCCTCCGCTCTCTCCACCACCATCCACGTCACCGAGAACCCCCTGGCCGCGCCTTCCACCAAGACGCACAAGGGCAAGGCTGACAGCAAGTTACCTCCGCTCACCACCACCACCAACGCCTCTATCACCACCACTACCGTCAACGCCACCTCCAATTCCACCTCCAACGATGCCTCCCCGAACTCTGACTCCAAGCCCAATCTCCCCTTGTCCGATTCGTCTCGCCCCGACGTGACGCAATGTGATCAGAGCAAGGCTACAGCCACCACCCTGCCGCCCACCGCCCTGCCGCCCACCGTCCTGCCGCCCACCACCTCGCCCAACTCCGACCCGCCGCCACCCTACCAGCTCGCCAGCGACAAAGTCCCCGTAAGTGCACACCCCCAAGTTGTACAGGTGTTGTGAAGTCTTGGGGCCATGAAGCCTAATTTGGCAGTATAGTCTAGCAAGTCCAGCATCACTTTGATGTGTTCTGAAGTAGGGGTAAGAGGTCATAGGAGGAAAACATGGGTTTTCGCCTCTTTTTCAAAGTTAGAGAAGTTTCTCCTTGGCTTGTTTCTTTAGAGAGAGTTAGGCTTTACCTGGCTGCTCTCTGGTCGACTACTCCCATACAGCCTTTCCTTTAATACTGATAATGTTTACAACTATTAAACGTGCAGAAAATGGACTGTTGGACACCAAAAGGTTCACATTATCTATTATTGAATTAGCCCAAATGTCCTACTAAGAACAATTAAAAATAACTAAACCTAATCTATCCAAGCACTAGTAGACCTAATATATCTTATCTTAGGCTTAATATAGTTCATATATGTACTGCTTTAGGCCTGGGAATGCTTAAAGTTTGGTTTTTGTACCAGTTTTTGTAGCTCAGTCGATTAAGGCAGCGTCTGGGATCCTTTCAGAAGTAAGTTCGAACCCTCGTCACGGCCCTTGTGGATTTATTCTTTCGTTTTTGTGTTGTTATGCCCCTCTACAAAACAAATAGTATAAAACGTGAACATTGTTAGTTGCAACAGTCTAATTTGTGTACGTTCGACCAAATGGTAGTTATCATTTCAAGAGGATTGGCTGGTTCCGTGAATCATTCAATAAGCAATCCATCGAGAGATAGTGAATTCTGGGTGTCGCGGACCGTAGACTTTTACAATGTTTTAATTGATTGTTTGGACGTTTTCCATTTTTACACACATATACACACACAAACTCACTCATTCACTCACTCACTCACTCACTCACTCACTCACTCACTCACTCACTCACTCACTCACTCACTCACTCACTCACTCACTCACTCACTCACTCACTCACTCACTCACTCACTCACTCACTCACTCACTCACCACACCACTCCTCCACCCATCTCCCCCAAACCGCGCGAGGAGTGAATACAGATGAATGATAACCCATATTTATGTGTTCCACCATCTCACAAACAATCATAGATCTTCATCAGTACTACAAACAACAATTACAGATATCCATCGTGGGACATTATCTGCCTTCTTGCTTGAAGGGGTCAGATGTAGATATGTTTCATCTGTCACGCTGTATAACTATCTTTTGCTATTATTTTCTACCGTTATTTCTCATCGATTTTTTGGCTTCCAAAGTATAGAGAATGGTTGTTATTTCCCGCTCAAGCCTCAGGAAGAGGTGATGAAAGGACCTGACAGCTGGCGACATATGAAACAGCGTGTCGTAGCGCTAGGTAAGGAGTCGGCGTTCGATCCCCAATGGTCCAACTGGTTGGCCACTGTTCCTACAGTCCGTCCTCATATCTCAACTGCTTGTACTTATGTCCTTTCCTTACTATATAGTCAGTTCACGAGCTTAACTCTTTGTTAAAAAGAGCGACTGTTGGGTCTAACCAGAAAGGAATGAACTAAGCAAGCCACCGAACTTATGGAGGTCAATACACAGAAAACGTAATTATTACGATGCTTTAATGTTTGCTAATTTATCCCTTTTTTGCAGGCGATAAGTCACAATAACGTGGCTGAAGATATGATGACTAAACGACAGATCAAAAGATGGATAAATAAAGAGTTTCGGTCCGTCCTGGACCACTATGACGTCGTGTGTGATACGACTTGCTAATGGTCCAGGACGGACCGAAACGTCGTCGTCTCTCCATCTTGTGATGTATCGTTGGGTCATCAGGTCTCATTTTTATCGGTTTGTTCAATTGGGAACAAAACTGTGAGGTCAGGGTCCATCCTGTCCTCTTAAAAAGAACGTCGCTTTTGGCCGTTTGTCCGTATGGCCGAATTTGGACATAATTTGAAAATGAAAAAAAATGAAAATAAATTTGGGATTTTTTTTTTCAACAACAGTAAGTTAAGGGTCCTCTGATGGGTTAGGTGGGCAGGAAATTCTCATAAAGTTTCAAAACGTTATGAAAAACGTGAATTTAAAGTTTCCTCTCATAACCTCTGCGCGTACGCCGGACGACTCAAACAGAAAACGGAACAGAACGTCACTTTTGTGAGTCAATTTCATTGCAAATTACGTCCAAATTTAGCCATAGCGCGCATACGAGCCAAAAGTGACGTTATTTTTAAGAGGACGGGTTGGGTTGATACGAGTCTCTCCAGCAGTGCCCGAAGTGGACGGAGAACGAGCCGGAGCGGGACACCTGGGGCAAGAAGGTGGAGTTCCTGCTGGCCGTGGTGGGCTTCGCTGTCGACCTCGGCAACGTCTGGAGGTTCCCCTACATCTGTTACCAGAACGGCGGAGGTGAGGCGTGCCCCAAGGGCTCTCCCGGGTGCTGGGGGAGGTCCCTCAGTCGCCACAACCGACAAAGTACGGGGTTATCTTTAGGTTATCTTTAGATGATTTCGGGGCTTTTAGTGTCCCTGCGGCCCGGTCTTCGACCAGGCCTCCACCCCCAGGAAGCAGCCCGTGACAGCTGACTAACACCCAGGTACCTATTTTACTGCTAGGTAAAAGGGGGCATAGGGTGAAAGAAACTCTGACCATTGTTTCTCGACGGCGCCTGGGATTGAACCCAGGACCACAGGATCACAAGTCCAGTGTGCTGTCCGCTCGGCCGACCGGCTCCCTAACACACATGAACCCAAGCCACCTGGCCTAACCAAAGCATAGGAAATGTGGATTACACACAGAGATCACACTAACGTGATGCATCAAATGAACAAATCCACAAGGGCCGTGACGAGGATTCGAACCTGCGTCCGGGAGCATCCCAGACGCTGCCTGGGATAGCTCAGTCGATTAAGGCAGTGTCTGGGATGCTCCCGGTCGCAGGTTCGAATCCTCGCCACGGCCCTTGTGGATTTGTTATTTGGAAATGTGGATGTTTGCGAGCCGCTAAGTTTCATACTACCCCGTATTTTGCCCGTTGGGGATTATAGTGAAAGATGGTTTTATAATTGATTGCACAAATGCTTATTGAATTCTGACCAAAAGATCCATAATTCCAAGTGGAATTACATTTGAATTCCGTTGATGAGAGTAAACAGGAGAACAGGGTATATATATCTAGTCAATTCTGGGGGGAGTAGATAGGGTAGATGAGGGGGGGGGGTAGACTTGACGGTGTGGAGAGAGGTAATGACGGTGCTCGCTCTGGGCTCCCACAGGGGCCTTCCTGGTGCCGTACGTGATCATGCTGGTGTTTGGGGGACTTCCACTGTTCTTCATGGAGCTGGCGCTTGGTCAGTACCACCGTAGTGGCTGTCTCACTGTCTGGCGTCGCATCTGTCCCATGCTCAAAGGTCAGTGTCATGCTCAAAGGTGAGTGTCATGCTCAAAGGTGAGTGGGAAGGTGAATTCCATAACCATTCGAATAAAATACCAACTGAATTACACCATGTTCCTTAATGATCTCTCTCTCTCTCTCTCTCTCTCTCTCTCTCTCTCTCTCTCTCTCTCTCTCTCTCTCTCTCTCTCTCTCTCTCTCTCTCTCTCTCTCTCTCTCTCTCTCTCTCTCTCTCTCACACACACACACACACACAGTGTATCTTCCCAATCAGAAGCCAATTAGGCGTGTCTCCTCTCACATTATAACATGACTAAAGATCACCAACATTAACCTAACTTAACCTAACTCTGAGACTTGACCCAAAGGGCGTCACTGAACACAAGTTAACTGTGACCTCTGTGTTGATCATGGCCCTCTTGTTGGCCCTGATGATGGCTCTTGTTCCCCCCTCTAGCTCTTCCAGTCAGGGCTAGGATTCACTAAGTATTTACGAGTCCCACTTGCGAAACCTGTACATCTGTCTTCAATCATGGTTGAATTAGTTCGAGGTATTAAACAGCGTTCACGAGGTTGTCTATAGCTCAATGTTAACTTTGGGTTGTGAAGTTTCCAAGCTCGTTAACTGTTTAAACACTTAACAACTCTTTGTGATGCCCTGGATCACTAACAAAGGTGTATGTGATGCTCCAGAACACTACCAAAGGTGTCGTGATGCCCTCTAGAACACTAACAAAGGTGTCGTGATGCCCTCTAGAACACTAACAAAGGTGTCGTGATGCTCCAGAACACTAACAAAGGTGTATGTGATGCCCTGGATCACTAACAAAGGTGTATGTGATGCCCTGGATCACTAACAAAGGTGTATGTGATGCCCTGGATCACTAACAAAGGTGTATGTGATGCCCTGGATCACTAACAAAGGTGTATGTGATGCCCTGGATCACTAACAAAGGTGTATGTGATGCCCTGGATCACTAACAAATGTGTATGTGATGCCCTGGATCACTAACAAAGGTGTCATGATGCTCCAGAACACTAACAAAGGTGTCATGATGCTCCAGAACACTACCAAAGGTGGCATGATGCTCCAGAACATTAACAAAGGTGTCGTGATGCTCCAGAACACTAACAAAGGTGTCGTGATGCTCCAGAACACTACCAAAGGTGGCATGATGCTCCAGAACATTAACAAAGGTGTCGTGATGCTCCAGAACACTAACAAAGGTGTCGTGATGCTCCAGAACATTAACAAAGGTGTCATGATGCTCCAGAACACTAACAAAGGTGGCATGATGCTCCAGAACACTAACAAAGGTGTCGTGATGCTCCAGAACACTAACAAAGGTGGCATGATGCTCCAGAACACTAACAAAGGTGTCGTGATGCTCTAGAACACTAACAAAGGTGTCGTGATGCTCCAGAACATTAACAAAGGTGTCGTGATGCTCCAGAACATTAACAAAGGTGTCATGATGCTCCAGAACACTAACAAAGGTGTCATGATGCTCCAGAACACTACCAAAGGTGTCATGATGCTCCAGAACATTAACAAAGGTGTCGTGATGCTCCAGAACACTAACAAAGGTGTCGTGATGCTCCAGAACATTAACAAAGGTGTCATGATGCTCCAGAACACTACCAAAGGTGTCATGATGCTCCAGAACACTAACAAAGGTGTCGTGATGCTCCAGAACACTAACAAAGGTGTCGTGATGCTCCAGAACACTAACAAAGGTGTCGTGATGCTCTAGAACACTAACAAAGGTGTCGTGATGCTCCAGAACATTAACAAAGGTGTCGTGATGCTCCAGAACATTAACAAAGGTGTCATGATGCTCCAGAACATTAACAAAGGTGTCGTGATGCTCCAGAACACTAACAAAGGTGTCGTGATGCTCCAGAACATTAACAAAGGTGTCATGATGCTCCAGAACACTACCAAAGGTGTCATGATGCTCCAGAACACTAACAAAGGTGTCGTGATGCTCCAGAACATTAACAAAGGTGTCATGATGCTCCAGAACACTAACAAAAGTGTCGTGATGCTCCAGAACATTAACAAAGGTGTCGTGATGCTCCAGAACATTAACAAATGTGTCATGATGCTCCAGAACACTAACAAATGTGTCATGATGCTCCAGAACACTACCAAAGGTGTCATGATGCTCCAGAACATTAACAAAGGTGTCTTAATCCTCCAGAAAACTACCAAAGGTGTATGTGAAGACCTCGTGGCATCCTGAGAGCGTGTATAGAGGGCCACTCCCTTGCCCCCTCTAGAGCGAAGAGGCAATAGAGACAAGAAATACCTCTCCAGAGGCCATCTCTTGCTCTTCCTCTCAGCTTATTGGGTTCCTTTTTAGCGGGTCTGTTGAGGTAGCAAATTGCTACACGTGGCTCTGGCCTCTTTGAGAAGAAGAGGTGATAGTGAGGGGGGGGGGTGTGTGGCCCCAGGTTGGGGGCGGGGAGAGCGAATTAGAAGATGGTTATGGAGAGGGGAGGAGGGGGATAGGGCTACAAGTCCTCTGAGGGGATGGAGATGCACGAACTAATTACGAGAACGGGTGGTTAAGGGAGGGGGAGAAGGGGGGTAGTTTGAATGGCATCGGGCAAATAGTTTTACTACGGCTGACAAGAGAAGGCGATGATAGTCAGCGCGAGAGACAGCCGTCGACACCCACATACTGGTGGCTAGGAGAGCAGCAGGCGAGGGGGGAGAGGGGTGGGTGTCAGGAAGATGGGTGGGGGGTATGGAAGGTTGGGAGGGGGTCTGAAAGGTTGGGGAGGGGGTCTGGAAGGTTGGGGAGGGGGTCTGGAAGGTTGGGGGGGGGTCTGGAAGGTTGGGGAGGGGGTCTGGAAGGTTGGGGAGGGGGTCTGGAAGGTTGGGGGGGGTCTGGAAGGTTGGGGAGGGGGTCTGGAAGGTTGGGGAGGGGGTCTGGAAGGTTGGGGGGGGGTCTGGAAGGTTGGGGAGGGGGTCTGGAAGGTTGGGGGGGGTCTGGAAGGTTGGGGAGGGGGTCTGGAAGGTTGGGGAGGGGGTCTGGAAGGTTGGGGAGGGGGTCTGGAAGGTTGGGAAGGGGGTCTGGAAGGTTGGGGAGGGGGTCTGGAAGGTTGGGGGGGGGGTCTGGAAGGTTGGGGAGGGGGTCTGGAAGGTTGGGGAGGGGGTCTGGAAGGTTGGGGGGGGGTCTGGAAGGTTGGGGGGGGGTCTGGAAGGTTGGGGAGGGGGTCTGGAATGTTGGGGGGGGGGTCTGGAAGGTTGGGGAGGGGGTCTGGAAGGTTGGGGAGGGGGTCTGGAAGGTTGGGGGGGTCTGGAAGGTTGGGAAGGGGGTCTGGAAGGTTGGGGGGGTCTGGAAGGTTGGGGAGGGGGTCTGGAAGGTTGGGGAGGGGGTCTGGAAGGTTGGGGGGGGTCTGGAAGGTTGGGGGGGGGTCTGGAAGGTTGGGGAGGGGGTCTGGAAGGTTGGGAGGGGGTCTGGAAGGTTGGGGAGGGGGGTCTGGAAGGTTGGGGAGGGGGTCTGGAAGGTTGGGGGGGGTCTGGAAGGTTGGGGAGGGGGTCTGGAAGGTTGGGGGGGGTCTGGAAGGTTGGGGAGGGGGGTCTGGAAGGTTGGGGAGGGGGGTCTGGATGGTTGGGGAGGTTGTCTGGAAGGTTGGGGAGGGGGTCTGGAAGGTTGGGGGGGGTCTGGAAGGTTGGGGAGGGGGTCTGGAAGGTTGGGGGGGTCTGGAAGGTTGGGGAGGGGGTCTGGAAGGTTGGGGAGGGGGTCTGGAAGGTTGGGGGGGGGTCTGGAAGGTTGGGGAGGGGGTCTGGAAGGTTGGGGAGGGGGTCTGGAAGGTTGGGGGGTTGATGGGAAGGGGGGGATGTGGCAGCGTAGAATTACTTCATGTATTTAAAGTTGGTGGATGTGCATGTTTATGTTTAGGATTGTGTGTGTGTGTGTGTGTGTGTGTGTGTGTGTGTGTGTGTGTGTTAACATCAATAATGTGGGTGTGTGTCGGTCCCACGGCCAAAGTTACTTGATCAATTGACAGGAATCAAAACCCGTAACTTACCTACCTACCTACCCCCCTCTCTCTCTCTCTCTCTCTCTCTCTCTCTCTCTCTCTCTCTCTCTCTCTCTCTCTCTCTCTCTCTCTCTCTCTCTCTCTCTCTCTCTCTCTCTCTCTCTCTCTCTCTCTCTCTCTCTCTCTCTCTCTCTCTCTCTCTCTCTCTCTCTCTCTCTCTCTCTCTCTCTCTCTCTCTCTCTCTCTCTCATTCATTTATCTAATTCATCTACCTTTTTCTCTTCTTCACTCTCTCTGTGATCCTGCTCCACCACCTGGAGACGGTAAGCTTCGTAGCTCACAACAACACGGCTTGAAACAGGACAGTCATGCCTGACAAACTTGATAGAGTTCTGCGTCAGCCAAATATATCAGGAGAAAGAAGGCTGCGTAGACTGCATTTCTTAAACACTGTCACGAAGCAGTCGATACACCTGATCACAAAAGGATGGTGTACGAGATGGTGAGACCAGCTGGAATAACTGGAAAGATATTGAATTCTGTAAGGGAGTACCTGACAGGCATAAAACAATAGATGACAATGAGAGAGTAGGGGACCGAGCTGAATAGATTTGACAATCGGTGTCTTTTTCCCCTTGACTTGGTCCCGTGTCTAATCTTTTGAATGGCTGACCCACAGAAGTGAGATCTTATATTATCAATTCTTACAGACGACTCAAAATTAATAATAGCTCTCCCTCCTCCAAGCGACGGAGGGGAACGTTTGAGCACGGCAGGAAGAGACTTCCTACGGTGTCCAGACAAATGGATTTTAGAATTTAACCCCAGTAAGTGTAATTGCACCACTTTCTCCTCCTCCTTCTCTTCCACCACGTCCTCCTCCTTCCCCTGCTTTTGGTGGTGGAGTAGAAAGAGGAGGAGTGACTCGGCCAGGATGATATCGACACCCTGAGAAGACCAGCACCTGGTGTCCGCCCGTACCACGCCGGCCAGGACAAGTCCAAATATTTTGATTATGGA